GAAACACAGAAACTTGCTAACGGGATCAACATTATTGAGGCACACCAGGCCGCCTCCTAGACCACACACAGAACACCCCAGGCTTCGCGTATAAAAATCTGCAGTGTTTGTTACTCGTGAGGCTGATTAAATCTTGGATGTTGGCTTTGAAGAGGAATTAAAAGCAAATGATTAAACTTCTGCCGGTACACGGACAGACCATGTTTTTTTCTGCCACGCAAACCCGAGAAGTTGAAGAGCTGGCAAGGATTTCTCTGAAAAGGAAGCTTTGTGCGTTGGTGTTGATGGTAATGAAGCCAGTGCAACAGCCGATGGGGCTTGAGCAGGGATACGTTGTTTGTGCCTCTTAAAAGAGATTCCTTCTACTCCTTACATTCCTGAGAAACACGGAAAGAAGAAGCTAGGAAGCTAATGGTGTTTTTTTTTCATGTGGCAAGTCTGTTACATACCACTCTGAGTCACTGAACTACATGGACTTAACCTGTCTTGACCGTTCATGGGAGGCCCAAGCAAAATAAGTGGATACCCGCGTTCTTTCAATTCTGCAGTGCAGATTCGGGGATCTTGCTGTGAACAGACGTGACAGCTCGAGGACTGGATATTCCTGAAGTTGACCAGATTGTTCAGCATGACCCTCAGATGACCCTAAGGAGGGTATTCATCGTGTGGGTAGAAGACCCAGAGGTCTAAGTGCAAGAGGGCACACCTTGCTCATTTTGCTCCTTGAATTGGGTTTCCTTTGTTATTTCCAGCAATGCAAAGTTCCACTAAGTGAATTTGAGGTTTCCTGGTCCAAAATTTCTGGTATTCAGTCCTCAGCTTGAAAAAGTGATTGAAAAGAATACCTCCTTCATAATTCAGTGCAGGAAGCATGTGTTGTTGTGCCATCGAGTCGGTACTGACTCATCGCGACCTTATGCACAACAGAATGAAACTATCTGCCTAGTCCTGTGCTTATCTCACAATCGTTGCTACGCTTGAGTTCATTGCTGCTGCCACTGTGCCAATCCTTCTCATTGGGGGTCTTCCTCTTTTTCGCTTACTCTCCACTTTACCAAGTCCAGAGACTTGCCCCTCCTGATAATATGTCCAAAGTAGGAGAGACAAAATCTGGCCACCCTGGAGTCTAAGGAGCATTCTGGCTGTACTTTTTCCAAGACAGATGTTTGTTATTCTGGCAGTCCATGGTACTTTTAATATTCTTCTCCAACACCATAACTCAAATGCATCAATTCTTCTATGGTTTTCTTTATTCGTTGTCCAACTTTCACATGCATGCAAGAAAATACCATGGTTGGAGTCAGACACGACTTAGTCCTCAAACTGACATCTTTGCTCTTGAACACTTTAACATATTCGAGCATATGATTCTCATTTTCTGAAACAGATCTTTACTGGTGATAACTCAAAGTTACCTCAAGTTGCTTTGTGAATTGGTTTCAAGGTACCTCTTTTTGTTGATCTGAATGTGAATAGCAATGAAGACAAACCAAGTGAGGAGGTAGTGTGGCTTTGGCTATCAGAAACTCACAAAGGTCAAAAAGTCCAAGATTAAAAAAAAAAAAAAAGCAAGAAAACCTCTGACGGTAGGCAGTTCTACTGAAGACAGCCTTCCTTCATCTTGAGTCCCCAGATGGATTTTCTTCCCTTTGCTTTAACAGGGAATTGTAGCCTTTAGGATTTGCACTGATTTATTGAGTTTAAACTTGACTTGGGTTTACAAAGTCTCAGGACTGTTTCAGCAAATATTTTCTTATGGGGGGTGATGGTCGTGGTAACAGTTCAAGTTTTCTCAGTTGCCCAAGGGAGTAATATTTTTAGTCTTTGTTGTGATGATAAAGTACTTGTAAATATTTGCCCCTTAAGTTTGCCGTTGTTTTACTGTGATTCTTTCTCTATCTCTCCTTGCTGTAAAAGGTAAGTAACCTCCTCTGTAAAGATGGTTGTTAACTGCAGTAGAGGGAGCCCAAGGAGCCGAAGTCATTGCGACTTCGAATCCCCGCAGAGAAAGCAGAAGGGTCACTACATGGGCTGCGGGAACGTTTTACGGGAAATCTTCCCACCTCAAAGCACACCTGAGAACTCACACAGGTGAAAGGCCCTTGGCCTGCAGCTGACAGAACTGCAACAAGAAGTTTGCTCACCCGACAAGCTTCCGAACGAACACACACAGGGGAGAAGATGATCAACTGCCCCATCTGTGAGAAGCGCTTCGTGCTCAGTGACCACCTGACCAAGCATGCCCCAACTTCCACCTGGGCATGTTGCAGAGGTTTGGGGGTGGCTCCTGGACCGGCTCCATAGGCCTACACAGCCTCTCCGATGCCAGCAGTCCCACCAACAGCCTGGCCAGTTCATCCTGAGCTCCCAGAGCTGGGGTGGTCCGGTGGCGCCACTCAGCAGAGCCTGCCGTCCAGCCTGTAGTTCGGATCTTGCAGACGTTCAGCTCTGCCCATTTCGGAGCCACCGGACCTTTGCTGCCACTGGTCTCAGTGACCCTGCTGCCTCCAAGAGCAGATGCTGTATTTCCTCCGTGTGACTCCTTACCTTTTCCTTTTGTGATAAAAAAGAAGAGAGAGAAAACTTTATGAAAACTCCACAATTTTCTTCTCAGGTGTCAAAAAAATTTTTTTAAAATGTTTTATTGTGAATTAAGGAGCTCTGGTAGCGTAGTGGTTATGAATCGGGCTGTGAACCTTAAGGTCAGCAGTTCAAAACTACTAGCTGCTCTGCAGGAGAAAGATGAGGCTTTCTGCTCCCATAAAGATTTAACGCCTCAGAAACACTGTACAGGATCGCTATGGGTTGGAATCGACTCGACAGCACTTAACAACAACAACATTGTAAATTATGTGACAGTTTACATGGGAGTTAAGTTTGCTTTTTAAAAAACAAACAGTAAAAATTTCAAACGCCACCACACACAGATTACACAAGAGGACTCTTAGCCACCAGGTGGAAATTCAGCCAGTGGTGTTGAGCCCCCTTTCTTGGGGATGGACAGGTCAGGGATGGCTCCCTTCCTGCCGTCTTACTCTGGACAGACATTTGCACTCTGGAGGTTTCTGTTGGGTTCAGAAACGCACTAGGGACAATAGACAGACCAGGGCCAGCTGGAGTTGGGCATCTGTCCTATAGGTCAGCCGCCCAGTCAGCCCGGAGCATCTATGCTTCAACAGCCAATTTCTGTGTGCCCAGCCTCAAAACCCTGCCCTGGAGGTCCAGCCGGGCTCAGAAAACAGATATTTCTGAGGAAGGACACCTCAGAGGGATGCCTTAAGCCACGGAAGGCAAAAGGACCACTCACATGGAGGATTTACGAGTCATCTTCCTTCATGAGGTCTGTCCTTCCTGTCTCCAGAAGCCTTTCGTTGGCCTGTCGGAGATCTGGAAGCAGACACACATGCCCTGTGGGATACCACTCACTGCTGAGGCGATGCGGCCCGGGCTGTCCCATCACCATGCCTTCCAAGACTCCCAGAGCACAGAAGGGGAAGCCCTGCACAAAGCAAGGGGCCTTTCGCCTCCTCCACTGCTCGCTACCTGTGAAAGACAGCCTGGGAATTCTAAAAAGATGTGGTGTTGCTTCATCCAGTCCTGTCCCCAGGTTCACCCTGCTGCTGAGACCCCTCTGTCCACATCACCAGAAGGCTGTTTGTAGGGGGCACACACAAATGCTCAGTACTCAGCAGACACCCTTCTGTAGCCAGAGACTGGAGCAGTGTGAGCCGGAGCCCTTCTGTAAAGGGCGGTAAAACGGATGTCAGCAAAACGCTGTCTGTGAACGTGCATTGTTTTTTGCCCAGGGAATAGCAGATGGAGGATTGTGGGAAGTGTTTTTCTTAGACCTACAAGGTCAGACTTAGTCTGGGTGGCATCCCTGGGAGCCTCCTTCCTCCCCACCTGCTTTTCCAGGTCTTGTCTAAAGCAGATTAGACAAGTCTCATTAAAAGGAAGAGCAGAAAGCCAGCCGGGACAGTTCCCCAAAGCCCTGTGCCCAGCCAGCTGGGGCTCCAGGCCTTGGGCCGACTTCCTGTGCAGAAAACCTTTCAGCATTGTTTTCCCAGAGGCATTCACCACCCCTTCTCTGGAATCTGTGTTCCTAGGAGTGTGTGTGTGTACTTGGGCATGGATGTTGGGCAGACTCAGGATATTTTGTAGGCCTTGGGCCCTCAGATGGGCTTGCTGGACCCAGAGTGCCTTGGCTGCAGCTGTCCTGCTTCCCCACCCCACCCACCCACCGCCTGGGGGAATCGTAGAGACCACAAACACAGCCAAGGCTATGCCCATAGCTCATGGCAGCTGCTTCTGGCTTGCTCCAGCGTGGATGATCTTCTCTGACAAAAATGGCCTGAGTGTCCCTTCCTAGCTCCACACGTGTAAACAGGGTGGGCTGTGGCATAGTGGTGGTTCTGAGCAGCACTGTAGGTGGTGGTGTTTCTGTTACTGAAGTGGGTGGGTGGTGGAGTGAATAGGAGAGAGGTGGGCAGAACAGGTAACAGCTCTTCTGGATTTCGGATCTTGAGTGCTGGGTCTCCCGTTCGGCTTCTTGGAGTCCACATTATGACCATTTTGAACCATTTGGTCCTGGCCCAACAGTGGGACACCCTCTTTGTCCTTTGAGCCCATGTCCTCATGCTTCAAGAAACATTGGTAGTTCATGGTTAATACTCAGCTGCTCCCTAAAAGCTTGATCATTTGAGCTTACCCAGCGGTTGTGTGGGAGAGGGACGTGTCCGTCTGCTTCCATGAAGATATGGTTGGAGTTAGATGGTGTCCAGTCGGTTCTAGCTCATAGTGACCCTGTGTAGAACAAAACACTGCCCAGTCCTGTGCCATCCTCACCATTGGGGTCTTGCTGATACTGTGCACGTCCATCTCGTGCAGGGTCTTCCTCTTTTCCACTGCCCCCAGGAGCAGCTGTCCCATGGGGTGGACCCAACAGCAGCGGGATTTGGCTGTGCTATTTTTCCTCAGGCTCCTCCTCTCTGTTCTCACAGGTCAGCTTGTCAACACGGTGACCGTGAACTTTGCATCCTACATCTTGTATCCTTCTGTTTTCGAAGCCAACCTCACCATCCACAGTATTGCCACTGGTGTGTGCCTGGTTCGCTTGGTAACTTTCTAGAAACCCTCACACCCGGCCTCCCTGCCCTTTGACCCTGCTGGGTCCAAGGGGGTCAAGAGACCAACACACAGAACAAAACCAAGGGTGGCACACAGCAATAGTGACCTAGGCCTTAAACTGTCATGCTCTCTAATGACGAAGTAGAACGTTCCTGGGTGCTCAGAATTTCTCGCCTAGTAAATTGTCGTCCCGTTGTTATGTTGTTGTTGTTGCCACAGTTTTCCAGGCTCTAAAAATGCAATTTACCAAGAGATTATTTTCCCTTACACAGTTTTGTTGTTGTTGTTAAGTGCCTTCGAGTCGGTTCCGACCCATAGCGACCCTGTACAGGGTTTCCGAGGGTGTAAATCTTTACGGGAGTAGAAAGCCTCATCTTTCTCCCGCGGAGCAGCTGGTAGTTTCGAACTGCTGACCTTATGGTTCGCAGCCCGATTCGTAACCACTACGCTACCAGAGCTCCTTTACTGCCTTGGAAATTTTGAGGCAGATAAATCATGCAACAAACTGTGGTGTCTTTTGACATTATTTTTAAAAAGTCAGTCTTCTATGTCACAGCCCCCTTACGCCTTGCGTCTATTTGTCTGTGGTTGAACATGGTTTCACCATGGCCAGCCATTGAATAGGCCCAACTGCCTCGCAGCATTTCTGAGGCTGCATCTCCATGGAAATAGCTGCAGAGTGCTTTAATCACTGCGCTACCCCAGCCTTCTGAATGATCATTCTGTAACTCTAATATGTAAAACTGAATTTATAATAATGCAGGGATGCATGGTCCTGTAAGCTTTTCTTTCTTAGCCTTATGGGTTTGAAGTTCCTTTGAGCAGCATCCCAGATCCAGACCCCTGAGCTACATCTTACCAGCAGAAAGACTCCCACATGTATTAATGGAGAATCTAAGGAGTCCTGGTGTGGCGCTGTGGGTTAATGCGTTGGACTGCAAAGTCAGTGTGAACTACAAGGTTGGTGGTTCAAGCTCACCAGTCGCTCCTTGGAAACCCTCTAGAGGGTCGCTATGGGTCGGAACCGACTCGATGACATTTAACAACAACAACAACAAGGAGCTCTGGTAGCGTAGTGGTTATGAATTGGGCAAGGTCAGCAGTTCGAAACTAGCAGCTGTTCCATGGGAGAAAGATGAGGCGTTCTGCTTCCGTAAAGATTTACAGCCTCAGAAACTCTGTACAGGGTCACTGTGAGTCGGAGCCGACTCCACGGCACACAGCCACCACCAGCTGAGCATGGAGAGTCTGTTCCCTCTTCTCTCCTTCCCTTCCTCCCTCCATCACCTCTCCCTCCTTTCTTCTTCATAAATGGGATCCCATCATGGTGTGAGGCATTGCTGAGACGGAGCAATGGGAGAGCTGGCTGCACCCATCACCCGCCCTCACCCTGAGGAGAGGCATTACCCTTTGCAGGAGTTCAGCCAACCACAGCCACTTGGCTAAACCCAGCCCATCACTTTCTTTCCTAAATACAATTTTCTTTACGGCCAATGCACACTGTTTTATGTGAGATCCATGGTTGTGACCGAAAGCCCCCAAACCCGAAAATACTTTTCTCTCTAACCGTTTGCAGAATGAGTTTACTGCCCTCTGGTTAAGACAATGCAATGGCTCCGGTTCTCTCTGTCAGTTCTACATACCCTCTGGTGATCCCTACAGTCAGAAGGGAGCAAGAAGGCTGTTTTCAATCAGGAAACAGAATTGCATGTGAGAAACCAGAGCAGAGATGCAGGAAATATCAGATGCTTCTGTATATACAAAAATAGAGATAAAATAAACCTTTGCATTACTCCGTGTCCAAAAGTTAAAACTGATTCATATCCATCGAAGCATTGTATCCGTTGTTTCTTTTGTTCTTTTTCCTAGGGCAAAGCGAGCTGGTAGTTTTAACTTGGCCGAGCAGCGTGTACTATGGCAGTCTGGGAACCCTGTCGGACTCTATAATCAAAGTAGGTAACAATCCAAGTGGGATCATGACCAGGTTGGTCCTGATCCTGTGGTGGAGCTTTGGGTACTTCTGAAGTATAGAGGTCACGCCAGTTATAACAAGAAAACCACACGCGTAAATAGAGTTTACACTTAAAACATGCCAGGGTGAGCTCCAAGCTGCTTCTGTGGCCACCATGGTCTTAGAACCACCATGTGTGTCTTAGCTTGGTGGCTTGTGGATTGCTGTCAGCCGCAGGGTCTCTCCTGTGGTAGACAGTTTTCAGCAGCGCTTCAGGACGAAGCAAGGTCTAGACACCCACATCCCAACACCAGCCAACAAAAGCCCCATGGATCGCTACAGAACCTTGACCGACTTGGACCCAGTTAGACATGTCATCAGGAAGGGTCAGCTGCTGGGGGAGGGCATGGTGTTTGGTGACAGATTGGCACGGTAGCCACAAGGATGGATTAGAACATGCCAGTGATGGGGGGAGGGGGCACAGGACCTGGCATGAAGTCCGTAAGATGACCGGGAGCTGGAATCAGCTCTGTCTACCAGCTTATAAGGATAATTCAAAACTCGACCATGGCTGAGTGAGAGCAGCCTCCCCGGCTTTGGCCTCCAACTTCTGTGTTTTTCCACTAAGTCCACAACCACTCTATTGACCCCAAAGGTGCCTAGCTATGGAAGGTTCTTGTTAGGTGCTGTTGAACCAACCCCAACTCTAAAAAGTACAAAACGCTGCCCGTTTCTGTGCCAGCCCATGATCAGTCGGGGACCAGGCCGGTTTGCTCCACAGGGTTTTCACTGACTGATTTGGCAGCACTCAGTCACCAGGCCTTTCTTCCTACTCTATCAGAGTCTGGAAGCTCAGCATCACTGACCCGCTGCGTATGAGGTGTGCCGGCCAGGAAAGGCCAGGTAAATGGTGTGCAGGAAACCTGAGAACTGTCTCTTGGGAGCCTGAACCCTGACGTTTCTGACGTGTGTTTTCAGGGGAGAGGTTCTATCATTTCCATCAGACTCTCAAAAGAGATCAAGATCTGCAAACAAGTGGTGAGGGGCTATCAGGTCGATTCCAACTCATAGTGAACCCATGTGGCAGAGCCAAACTGCCCTGTTGGGTTTCCTAGGCTGCACGATCTTTACAACACCAGATTGGCAGGTCTTTCTTCCACACAGCACCTGGGGGTTTCAAACCCCAACCTTTTGGTAAGCAGCTGAGTGTTTAACTGTCACACCACCAGGCTTCTTGCAAACAAATTCAGACCTGTCTATCCAGCGTCCTCTTTAATGAAATAATGTAATTCCCCAGGGGTGAATAAAACTATAGAGCAGTTCACTCACAGATGGAATTCATGTCTTTTTAAACAACAGCAAAAAGAACCCTTCTTTAAATCTGAATCACGAAATACAATCAGCCAGGAGTATTGTGATGAGAGCTCAGGCATCGTCTTTCTGTTAGCTTTCAGACCAACACAAGTGGTTGCCAGATACAGCCGTGATGTTCACCCGTCCGGGAATGTTTGAACTCATAAACCCCGTGTACAGCATGCCTTCAACAACCACAGAGTTCTTTAAGTGCTCTGTGAACGTTCTGGAAACACTCATGGACCCCAGCCTACAGGTTGAGGATTGCAAAGTACGTAAATGTACCCATCAGTTTTTCTTTTCTGTTTGTAAACGTACTCTTTTTTTTTCTTACCCAGTTTAACAAAGAATTGTTTTCATGAGATAAAAACAGAAATGAAAAGCCATTTGACCCTTCCACTATTTTCCTCGCACACATCAATGACCTGGGTGGCGTGCGTCATGTTGATCACCCTTCCCCCGCTGCCCATCTCCAGATCATCCCTTCACCTTCATGGAAGCTCAGTGTCCCCCAAGCCCTGGCTGCCCACCTTCCTCCCTCCCATTTACCTTTTCTTCGTATTTCATAGAAGGAGACCAGACAATATTTGTCCTTTGGGGACTCAGCTTAATGTTTTCAGGGTCCAGCCACATGGTGGTGAGTATCAGGACTTCACTCCTCCTTGAGGCTGAGTAGTACTCCACTGTGTGGACGGACCACAGGGTCTGTCTATTGAGTCCACTTCGGCTGGACACTTCAGTTGTTTCTATCTCATATGGCCACTGTGGATAACCCAATGAGCATTGCTGTAGTCGACTATGTTTTTGCAAAGAATGCACCCACATTCTGCTTTTTTTTTGCCAGCCACGCCCTCCCCTAAGAGGTATTTTCATAAGCACACCATGCCCATTTCCTTTACACATTGCTGCTTAAAAATTAGCATATCGTGCTTATGAAAATAAGTCAAGTGTAGAGCACTCGCATTTATTGGTGTGAAAACAATGGTCCAGGCTCCTGTTTGTGATCCTGCTTCAATTGATCTGATGCCTAGAAAAGACTAGAATGGATGTCCTAAGAGACTGAAACTTACAAAATGGAGGAAATGATCACCTTAAAGAGCTGAACAGAAAATTACAAAGGGTAATTAAAGTACCAAAATGAAATGTGCAGATACCTAGAGCTAGAAAACTCAAAAGGAAGAACACGTTTGGCATTACTCAGTAAAAACTGAAGAAAAGAAAAATATTCAAGCTTCGAGTTGCAAAATTGAAGAATGATCTTATGGGCAGAATATTGAACAATGCAGGAAGCATCCAAAGAAGATAGAAGCAATACACAGTCACGGTGCCAAAAAGAACGGGTTGATGTTCAACCATTTCAGAAGGTAGCACATCATCACAAACCAAAGGTATCGAAGAGAATTTCAAGCTTCATTGTAGGCATCAGTGAAAACGAAGGCTCCAGGAATTGACAGAATGCTAGTTGAGATGTCTCAACAAATGGCTATAACATTGCAAGTGCTTACTTGCCTATGCCAAGAAATTTGGATATTCTGCTTTTTTCATCTTTTTTATGTGATCCCACAACTCTTCTGGTCCTCTGGTCTTTTGGTCTTTGGTACTCTATGTGTCAATTTTGTTCTTGAGATGACCTCTAAACTCGTGTAGAACATACTCAAGGTCACATTTGGGCTTGCATGAGTTTGTTTTAATTTTCTTTAGCTTTGATTTGAACTTGCATAGGAGCGATTGATGGTCTAGTCCACAGTCGGTCAATGACCTTGTTCTGACTGACGACATTGAGTTTCTCCATCGTCTCTTCCCACAGATGTAGTGGATTTGATTCCTGTGTATTCCATCTGGCAAGGTCCATGTGTCTAGTCACCTTCTATGTTGGTGTAAAAAGATATTTGCAATAAATAAGTCCTTGTTTCTGTTGTTGTTAAGTGACATTAAGCTGGTTCCAACCCATAGAGACACAACAACAATGAAACACTGCCCGGTCCTGCGCTATCCCCACAATTATTGTCATGCTCGAGCCCATTGCTGCTGCCACTGTGCCAATCCATCTCATTGGGGTCTTCCTCTTTTTCGCTGACCCTCCAGTTTACCAAGCATGATGTCCTTCTCCAGGGACTGGTCCCTCCTGATAGCATGTCTGAAGTATGAGAGACGAAGTCTCACCATCCTGGCTTCCAGCTGTACTTCTTCCAACAAAAATTTGTTTGTTCTTCTGGCAGCCCGTGGTACCTTCAATATTCTTTTCCAACACCACAACTCAAAAGCATCAATTCTTCTACAATCTTCCTTATTCATTGTAAACAAGGCATAGTTCTTGTAAAAAGTTTATCATGTGATCTCCAGCATGATTTCTATCTCCAAAGCCACATTTTCCAACTGCTGATCCTTCCTCTTTATTTTCAACATTTACATTCTTGTTGTTAAGTGCCACAGTGTCAGTTACAATTTACAGTGACCCTGTATAGGACTTTTGGGGATGTAAATCTTTGTAATAGCAGAAAGTCTTATCTTTCTCCTGCAGATAAAAAGCCAGAAATTATCAGTGCTCTTGATAATTGTGTGATCAATTTCAGGCTGCTGAAATTGGTAAAATTCTTAATTTCTTCACCATGAGTTTTAGTGATTGGTGTATAGATTTGAGTAATAGTTGTATTAACTGGTCTTCCTTGTGATGGTGGTTATGTGCCGTGGAGTCAGTTCCAACTCATAGTGATCCTGCATAGGGTTTCCAAGGCTGTAACTCTTTACGGAAGCAGAAAGCGTCATTTTTCTCCCCTGGAGCAGCTGGTAGTTTCGAGCTGCTGACCCTGAGGTTAGCAGCCCAACTTGTAACCACTACACTATCAGAGATCCTTGTCTTCCTTGTAAGGATGTGAATATTATCCTATCACTGACATCATTATACTTCAGGATAGATTTGGAAATGTCCTTTTTGATGATGAATGTGTTGCCATGCCTCTTGAATTTGTCATTCCCAGCATAACTAACCATACGGTTGTGTGGTTGAGATCGGCCGATATCTGTGCATTTCAGATCACTAGTACTTAGGATATTGATTTTATGCATTCCGTTTCATTTTTGATGACTTCCAGTTTTCCTAGGTTCTTATTTCATGCATCCCATGTTTTGCTTATTAAAGGATATTTGCAGCTGTGTCTTCGCATTTCGAGCTATGCCCCATCAGCACATGAGGGTCTTACAAGCTTTGTTCCATCCACATGGTTACGGTTGGTGCCACTTTGTGGAGGCAGCTCTTCCCCACCCACTCGTAGTTCGAGTGTCTACCTGCCTGAGGGGGTTCATCTTCTAGCGCAATGCCATAGTTTACAGTGGCTAAACATTCTGAAGTAGTCTGCCTCTTCCTTCTTCCCAGTCTTAGTTTGGAAGCTCAGCTGAAACCCGTACACTGTGGGTGACCCTGCTGGTAGTTGAAATACCAGCAGCATAGCTTCCAGAATCACAGCAACCTGCAAGCCACCACAGTACAGCAAACTTGACAGACGAGTGGATGCTACACTCAGATTACCTAACCAACGTAACAGAGAAAACTCTATCCCCAAACGGGGTGATAACCACAGCTATGTTGTTGTTGTTATGTGCCGTGGAGTCGGTTCTGACTCTGCATAGGGTTTCCGAGGCTGTAAATCTTTATGGGAGCAGAAAGCCTCATCTTTATCCCACGGAACAGCTGGTAGTTTTGAACTGCTGACCGTGAGATTAGCAGCCCGATTCGGAACCACTTGTTGTTAGGTCCCATCAAGTTGGCACTGACTCATAGCGACCCATCACACAACAGAATGAAACACTTTCCAGACCTGTGCCAACCTCACAATCATTGCCAAACTTGAGTCCATTGTTGCTGCCACTGTGCCAGTCCATCTCGTTGGGGGTCTTCCTGTTCTTCTCTGACCCTCCTCTTTACCAAGCATGATGTCCTTCTCCAGGGACTGGTTCCTCCTGATAATATGTCCGGAGTATGAGAGACGAAGTCTGGCCATGCTGATTTCTAAGCACTCTGGGTGTACTTCTTGCAACACAGATTAGTGTGTTCTTCCAGCAGCCCATGGTACTTTTAATATTCTCCTCCAACATCATAACTCAAATGCATCAATCCTTCTACGGTCTTCCTTATTCGCAGGTATAAAGGTTAGGATTTACAACACATATTTTTGAGGCGACTCAATTCGGTCCATAGCAAATGGATTAATTAGTAGGCTTCGAGCTTCAATGACTGGGAACGTCAAGGAAGAGAGACAGTTGTACAGACATTAGGTGTATGTGTCGCTGATGAAAGATAACACGCCCTTGAGTGTTTCCAATGCTCGGTCTAACCCAGCCATTCATTCATCTGCTGGGAGGGAATGCTGAAGACACAGGACCCTGCTCAACAACACCAGAAAGTTGTTCAAACCATGGCAAACTCTACAGGCCCAACGACCTGAAGTCCTTGAAGATGAATTATGAGAGGGAACAAGAGCCATGAGGGGTGGGGGAAGAAAGATCCTAGAGATTGAAATAAACTGAAAGCATCCTAGCTTTGGAGAATGCCAGGACTAAACCATATCGCCTACGGATTCATACATACTCTTGTGCGAAGGCTAAGAAACAATCCTGGTAAGAATCAGGGCGCAGTATTTAGGGAGGGTGGGGAGCAGTGGTGGCACAGACCTGGAGCACCCCCAGAGATGATAGCATAGCAAGAAACCATGGAAGGAACCAGTAAGACGTGGAAGGTTCCATCTCTGGGGACCACTTGTCCTTTCTTTTAGTATACAAGGGATTGACTTCCTCTTGTGGGTCTCTAACCAGATGGAGTATCTCCATGGGTATTTTGAAGACCAGATGCACACCATTGATATGAACAGCAATCTGACGCTGAAGGCTATCATTGTGCCTCAGGTGTACAAGTCACCAATCCCACTTGTAAGTGTTTCTTTATATATATATATACATCTACACATATATATAAGGAGCTCTGGTAGCGTAGTGGTTACGAATCGGGCTGCGAACCGCAAGGCTGGCAGTTCGAAACTACCAGCTGTTCCATGGGAGAAAGATGAGGCTTTCTGCTCCCGTAAAGATTTACAGCCTCGGAAACCCTGTACAGGGTCGCTATGAGTCAGAACCAACTCCACGGCACATAACAACAACACACATATATATGGAGTCCTGGTGTGGCGCTGTGGAGTAATGAGCTGGACTTTAAAGTCGGTTTGAACCCCAAGGTCTGTGGTTCCAGCTCACCAGCTACTCCTCAGAAACCCTATACAGGGTCCCTATGAATCAGAACCGACTCATTGGCATGTAGCAGCAACAACAAATATGTATGTATAATGTTGTTAAGTGCCTTTGAGTCGGTTCCAACTCGTTGTTGTTGTTGTTGTTAGGTGCCATCGAGTCAGTACCGACTCATAGCGACCCTATGCACAACAGAACGAAACACTGCCCCATCCTGGGCCAACCTCACAATCATTGCTACGCCTGAGCCCATCGCTACTGCCACTTGGCCAATCCATCTCGCTGGGGTCTTCCTCTTTTTCTCTGACCCTCCACTTTACCAAACATGATACCTTCTCCAGGAGCTGGTCCCTCCTGATAATATGACCAAAGTATGAGAGATGAAGTCTTGCCATCCCAGCTTCCAAGGAACATTCTGGCTGTACTTCTTTCAACATAGATTGTTCTTTTGTCAACCCATGGTACTTTCAATATTCTCCTCCAACACCATAACTCAAATGCATCAATTCTTCTACAGTCTTCCTTATTCACTGTCTAGCTTTTGCATACATATGAGATTATTGAAAATACCACGGTTTGGGTCAGATGCACCTTAGTCCTCAAGCTGACATCTTTGCTTTTCAACACTTTAAAAAGGTCTTGTGCAGCAGATTTACCTAATGCAACATGTCATTTGATTTCTTGACTGCTGCTTCCATGAGTGCTGATGATTGATCTGAGAAAAATGGAGTCTTTGACAACTTCCATCTTTTCTCCGTTGATAAGAATGTTGTTTATTGGTCTAGAGGTGAGGATTTTTGTTTCTTTAGATTGAGATGTAATCCATACCAAAGTCTTTGATCTTCATCAGTAAGTATTTTAAGTTCTCTTCACTTTCAGAAAGCAAAGTTGTATCATCTGCATAGTGCAGGTTGTTAATGAATCTTCCTCCAGTCCTGATGCCACATTTTTCTTCACAGATTATTTGCTCAGCTTATAGATTGAATAAGTATGGTGAAAGAATACAACCTTGGTACACACCTTTCTTAATTTTAAACCATTCTGTTCGAACCACTGCCTCTTGGTCTGTGTACAGGTTCCTCATGAGCACAATTAAGTTCCAGAATACTCATACTTTGCAATGTTGTCCACAGCTTATCATGATCCACACAATTGAAAGCCATTATGTAGTCAATAAAGCACAGGTAAACATCTTTCTGGTATTCTCTGCTTCCAGTCAAGATCCATTGACGTCAGCAATTATATCCCTCATTCTACATCCTCTTCTGAAACCAGCTTGAACCTCTGGAAGTTCTCTGTTAATGTATGGTTGCAGCCATTTGTGTATTACTTTTAGTAAAACTTAACTCGCATGTGGTGTCAATGATATTGTCCGATGATTTCCACATTCTGTTGGGTTACCTTTCTTTGGGAAAACAGATCTCTTTCAGTCAGCTTGGCCATGTAGTTGTCTTACAAATTTTCTAGCATAGATGAGTGAGTGCTTCCAGTGTCCCATCAGTTTGTTGAAAGATTTCTATTTGTATTCTATCAATTCCCAGTGCCTTGTTCTTTGCCAATGCCTGCGTGCACATTGAACTTTTTTCCGTCAGTATCATTGGCTCTTGAACATGTGCTACCTCTTAAAATGCTTGTACATCGAACATTTCTTTTTGGTATGGTGTTGTTGTTGAGTGTTGTTGAGTCGGTTCCGACCCATAGAGACCCTGTACAGGGTTTCCGAGGGTGTAAATCTTTATGGAAGTAGAAAGGCCTCCTCTTTCTCCTGTGGAGCGGCTGGTAGTTTCAAACCACTGACCTTAAGGTTCGCAGCCCGATTCGTAACCACTACGCTACCAGAGCTCCTTTACCATTTTACAGTCATTGTTCTGTTTGAGCCCATTGTTGTAGCCACTGCATCAATCCATCTACTTGAGGGTCTTCCTCTTTTTTTTTTTTTTTTTTGGTAGAATGACTCTGTATTCCTTCTATCTTCTTTTGATGCTTTCTGCATCATTTAATATTTTGCCCATAGAATCCATCAATACTGCAACTCAAGATTCCGACTCTGGATAGGGTTTCTAAGGAGCGGCTGGTGTGTTCGAACTGCCAACCTTGTGATTCAAAGCAGCCTTGTAGCCTAGTGCTTATCCTACAGTGCCACACCAGGACTCCATAAGACTTCCTAAGTTGTAATATTTTGGAATGCTCTCTTAGGCTGGGCTCTCTAGAGAAGCAGGTCAGTGAAACGTACTTATGTGTGTGTATATAAAGAGGTTTATATCAAGGAAATGGCTCACACAGTTTAGAGATGGGCAGATCCCAAGCCCGTTTGTCAGATGTCAGACTGGAGATGCCTGACTCACGTAGCAGCAGGGCAGATAAACCAAGATCAGCAGGTCAGACAGACGGCAGACAGGTAGGAAGGCAGATAGGCAGGTCTGGCAGGTAAGAAGGCAGGCTGCTGAGGACTCCCAGGATATAGACAGGTAATGGAGCAGGGTTGCTATGAGTTGGAACCAACTCGACGGCACTTAACAACAACAATGCATAACACTTGCTTCTCTCCTATCCTCCAGGTGACTGTGAGCAACCCACACTCGCTGGGGCTGCAGGTGAGCATCAAGGAGATGGAATACACTCTAGATGGGAACATCAAGTACCAAATGGTGAGCTTTGTGGCCCCTCCAGGCCCAGCCAGTCCCCTCCCTTCTTCCTTCCTGACCCAGATGGGGGCTCTCAGGGCCCTGGAGGGGCTGCAACCTCTGCTCCTATAACGTAATCCATCTGTTTGTCCACTGGGAATTCTTGCTGGGTGCTGTGGGGTCGATTCTGACTTGTAGAGACCACATATGACAACATAGAACTGCCCCATAGGGTTTCCTAGGCTGTCATGTATTGTGTCACTATATATTTGTATATACTCTTATATATCATCCACTCATAGTGCTCCCATGTGACAGTGTATAATGATTCCACAAGATTTCTTAGGTTGGCATCTATAGTGTCACTATATACTTTTATATATATCATTCACTTACAGTGCCCCCACGTGATGGTGTAGAACTGCCCCACAAGGTTTCCTAGGTTGTCATCTCTTGTGTCACTATATACTTATATGTTGTTGTTGTTGTTAGGTGCCATTGAGTTGGTACCGACTTATAGTGACCCTGTGCACAGCAGAACGAAACACTGCCTGATCCTGGACCAACCTCACTACTGTTGCCACGCTTGAGTCCACCGATGCTGCCACTTGGCCAATCCATCTCGTTGGAGACTCTTCCTCTTTTTCTCTGACCCTCCACCTTACCAAACATGATATCCTTCTCCAGTGACTGGTCCCTCCTCACAATATGTCCGGAGTATGAGACATGAAGTTCGGCCATCCTGGCTTCCAAGGAGCACTCTGGCTGCACTTCTTCCTAAACGGATCTATTGGTTCTTTTGGCAGCCCATGGCACTTTCAATATTCTCCTCCAACACCATAACTCAAAAGCATTAATTCTTCTACGGTCTTCC